TGGCTTTTGGAAACAGGTGGGTAAAGTTAGCTAATTCTCAGCTGCCATTAAAATTATTCTTAGTGTTTGTTGGTATTGCATGGAACATTGCATACTGCATATGTTGTTCTTCTGTGCATCTAATCCATGGCTCATCTAATTTCTGAAACAAAGACGTCCTCAGACTCCATTCAGAAGCTGTCAGTCCTACATGTGGACGATGCCAGGGACAGTATGAATGGCAAAAATCATCCATTTGTGCTTCGCTGTTCTTCCAAAAACTTCATCATTTTTGTCCCTCTCAGAACTGTCCAGTAAAGTGCTTACACATCATCAGTCAGCTTGTGTGGAGCTGTTGTGTCTCTTATGATCCAAAGCTGTAGTAGAAGTCAGAGCATGAATATAGCTTTTCTTTTAATACTAATTAGAGCTGAAAGGAGTGTCTGCGTGTGTGGTGATCACACCATATAGAAATGTTTCTTTGTCACTGACTGGTACGTGAAACTTGAGCAGGCTGCTTACAGAAACCTGTCGGGGTTCTTAGGCTTGATCACTGCTTCCTGGAGCTGATCAAGTAGATGTTTCAGTTCTAACAGTTATTTGTCCTGTCTACTCTCAGTTTTCAAAAGATCTTCAAGAAAGTGATTGCCATGAACTATTGAATCCATTGGCTGCTTTCTTTCATATTATCATTTTGCTTCATTTGAATGTGATTAAGGACTACTTGGAATTACAGAAGACAAGCAAACAAAACAGATAGAATAGTTCAGATGTATTTTAAAAATCTTAGACTTCATCTGTGCATTCAGTTGCTTCTTTCTTGTTTTATAGTTTTTTTATTAAGTACTTGAGAGTTGGAAATTCTGTGCAGTAGGACAGTGAAACGGTTGTAACTGGAATATTGTATGGCATCTATCTCACCCTTGTTTTGCTTGAAAACAATACTGGATCATCTTGGCTAGGCTGACTGAAGACAAGACCTAAGGGATGTGCATAACTTTGGCTGCAACTTCACCTAACGCATTTGGGAACAGTGCCCAGCAATAAATCACACAGCACAAGTCATCGCCAACTCCCTGATGGCTCCAACCTGTACAGGAGTGCTGCCATCAGCTTGGCACCCTCCTGCTCCAGGGCCGTACCTGCTGCCCTGTGTGTTTGGACTGTGTGGAAACATAGAGAAAGGAGGGGGTTGTTTCTTTGCTGTGCCAGTGTGAGCCACAACTCCTTTTTCACAGCTTTCTCAGGGAGCTGCTGGCCTCACTTGGTTTATTTTTCCTCTCTGGCAACGTGACTGAAAAACCGTGGGAATGTATTTAAGACAGGTACCACCTAGGAGTGGCAAGTCCTGTACCTTCCCACTGCTCTTCCTGGGTAACACCTAATTTCAGAGGATCACTGACATCAGATAAGGGGCTAAGGAAGCCTTTGTTTGCATGGGCTGCACTCAACTGCTCACTTCACTTTAGTGAAGGCTTTATATTTCAAGGTCCAAGATGAAAATTACTGCCCAGCTTGGTAATGCATGTTTTTCATCTCTTGCTGCTCAGGCAGTTGTGCACATCAAGACCCGGCTGCCCTGTTATTCCACATTAGGGCTGCAGTTTCTGCCTGGAATAGTTATTTGGCTCTTTGCTGCTGCCTCCACTTGCAAAGTAAAAGTGTATTGGTCAAAACATTCCCCACTGCTAAGCTCCCTAAGGCAAGTGCAAAATACTTGAATGGTTTCAAAGTTCAGTATTGTTGCTTTACAGGGAGGATTCAGAGCTGTACCATTGCTAGTAAAATACTGCTTTGGTACCCTGATAGTGTATATTCTGAAAATGTATGGTCTAATTTCAAAGTGGCATTTCTCCAGCTTCTTTTTGGCAAGCAGCACTTTTCCCTGCCCTGGCAGAATTGATTCCAAGTTCTTAAAAGTTACAGCTTCACAGTGATTGTATTTCCTCTGTAATCACTTGCATTCTTTTTATATAAGGAAAATAAATTACACTCAGTTGTGCTAGGATATGAACAGGCTGGAAGCCTACTGGAGTGTAGTGATGGCGAAGTCCCAGCCATAGGACTGTGTGTAAAGATATGTGGGAAACCCCAAAGGTGCTCTACCACTGTATTCCCAGTTCTGGGAAGCATGGAGGATCAGAGCAGCTTCCTCCCTTCCATAACACTGTGTACAACAAGAAGTTGAGTTTGCGTTTTGAAAAAGTAACATTGCTAATACATTGGTTACAAAATGGTAAGGAATCTTATTTCTTTAAACTTACTAATAATCGTGGAGCATGCTGATCTTGAATGTCATTAATTATGCAGCAAAGCTTTTGAGAGATTAATGACACCACCTGTGAGTAAACACAACCCACAGATGAAGCTAACCTGACTTTGACTGAGAAACTCAAAAGTAGTCATTTGCTGCGTGTGTTCTGGGGATTCTCATAGGCTGTTCTCAGATGTAATGCTTTAGTGAGGTGTTGCTATATTGAAATGAAGGAAGTGAATTCACTGGTGCACAGCAGCAGTGAAAAATCCGTTTTCCTGTACTGAAATATGGTCTTCAAATCAAAGGCAACAAATGAATATTCAGTTCCTGTGACCACTAAGTTGCTACATTTCAGAGAGAACTCAAACTATTTGGTGTGTGTGTTGGGCAGTAACTTACAACAGAATTCTCCATTGTTTCCATTGTTTTCTGAAAGCACTCCTAATTGTACAGTTGCCTTTCAGTGGCCTCTGAGAACCACACCTGCAGACTTCATAGAAAGTTTATCTGGTTTTTATTTTTCAAAGTTGATTATTTGGATTGATATTTGTTACAGAATGAGATAAATGGTTCAGTACTTCTTGTTAGGTAAAGCTTGTGATAGTGAAGACTGCAAGTCTGTCTATGCTATATAATTTGTTAAAAAATAAACATTCATGGTTCTGTCCTTTCTCATTCTAGTCTCTTTTGTCAGTGTAGGTGGAGTAACAACTAGTAATGCTCCTTCTTGTTTGTAGTCTGTTTCTGGTCACTGCAGTGTGAACGCTGCATTTTGTTTTACTGCACTTGAATTTCATGTTTAGGTATTGAATGGGTTTATGGAACTTAGAAAATTAAGTTTTGTCGAATACTGCATATGCTTCAAGTGCAGCCAGACAGTGGGCACTGTGTAAACACATGAAAAATCATCTGCCCAATGAGCTTATATCCCAAGATCTGTCATAATTAACGTGCTTACTGTACAACTTTTGCTTTCTCCAGTGAGGTAAGACTTGTGTATTTGTGGAACACAGTGTGTCCAACTTAAGGCTGTTCCACACCAAGTAAATCTTCCTGTATTTCTCCAATTCAATAACATTTTGTCAACATACCATATATAAGTTGTACTGACAACTTCTCATGGTGGCATTTCATTCCAGATAAAACTAAATGCAGGAGATACCCTATGTTATATGAAATCCACATGGCGAGATGTTAACAAGAAATACATATTCTTAAAAGCTATCTTTGTGGAATTCAGTAAGCTTGGTTTTCTTGAATCGTCTGCAGATCCTATCATTGGTTCTGGAATGTGCTCTTTCCCTTTGCCAGGGCTGCCAGACAGAGCCCTCTGACAATCTCTTTATCTATAGGGCTGTCTATAATGTTAATTAGTGAACTCTTTGAAAAACCGGCTTCCATGAGTTAATTTATGCACAAAACATCACTGTGGGTTGTGTTTTACCTGTTTCCCAACTCAGGGACCAAAGTATAGCTTAGGAAACTTGGCTTGGGCCACACAAGAAGCCTGTGTCGTAGCCAAGAATTGAGAGATTCACATTTCATTGCCTGACCACAAGACTTTCAGAAAATAAAGAGCTGAACAAAAGCAGATGCAGCCCTAAGAATTTGAGGTTGAGTACAGTTTGCCGGGTGCTTTACTCTGCCCATAAAACTGGAAGGATCTGCTTTGGAAGCCTAATAGTGCTTATGCATTCCTAGCTATTTATTTGCAAGCTACCAGACTGCAGAGATTTCAGCCTGACTTGGTCTTCAGTGCAAATCCAGACAGTGCAGTATTTAGTTTTCTGACTCTCTTAACTCACTGGTACAACTTCATAATAATTGTTTAGGGCTGATCCCTGGGCTCAGAGAAGAGGAAAAGGAATTTCAGTGCTATGCTTTTTCAAGAGCTTTTCAAGAGCTAGATCCAGGTTACAAAATCAAGGCAGGATCTGAAATCATGAGACTGGTATTCCAAAGCTTCGGTGGATTTTTCTGTTTGTCTGTATGTGTCTTCTGAGTACGCGCTTTCCAATGTAGCAAGGAGATACAGTAAGCTCAGTAAGACTTGAAGTGCTGTTTACCTACTGAAGTGTTTACATGGCTGCTATTCCTGTTGGTGTATCTAAGCACTCTGCAGTATTTAATGGATCTCACAGACAAAAATTCTCCAGTACTAATATTCTGTAGGTTGAAACCGATGTACAGAAGGGCATAAGCCCAGCTTCATGATGCTATTTAATCATGTAACTCCTGTGTTTTCAGTGAGACCTTTGCATTTTACAGAAGTTAGGCACACACACAATTTGGTGACAGTTCCGTGACTCGCCCCGGCTCTCACACAGTCCTTGTCAAATGATCTCAGTCCTGTCATAGCAGTCCTGTATTAGCACAAGGAGAATTAATGTTTCACATATTCCTCTGTGAGAAGGTAAGACAATTCAGGCTAGACGGAACAGTTTTTAGCTGCAAGGAAAACAAGCTGCTGAAACAATAGCAGTCTAACTTGATGGCTCCTCACGCATTAACAGTGGAAGCTTGAAAAGAGATGCCTCCTGGTATTGCTGCTGCTACGTGTGGGTGTTGTACAAAGCCCACTTGCTGATAGTCCACAGTTTATATCACACAGAACTTGAGATTTGATTCTAATGGCAGCTGCCACCTTTACATCTCTGCTTCTGTAACATTTTTCTTAGCCTGAGCTCCTCATACTGGTGTTGGGAGCAGTTCATAGACTTTCTTTCAATCTGATGGCGTAGACAGGTGGGATATTTTGTAACAGGCAGTTCTGTGCCAGATATCAAAGTCAGAAATTCCAGAATTGGGAATATGAGGAAGGGGAGTGGGATATAGTCTGTCCCTGAATTTTGGATGGCTGTGTTAATACTGGTTAATTATCCTTCAGAGTGCAATTATTATTTGGACATAGAAGACACCTCCCTCTAAATTCCTTGTGACATAAGGTCTCTGACTAAAATTAGGTCACAGCTATTGAATTGTTCAGTTGTCCACCCACAAGGGAGCTACAGAGACCTCTTACAATTCCTTGCAATCAAGTAAGTAGCAGTTTCTCTCATTTATCCTCCAAGGAAGCAGTTCACCAAAAATAATATGTTGATTCCTTCACCCCTCCCTGTCACTAATCACTCCTCTCTCTTAGCTATGTACTGACTTGGCCCTCATCATCAGAGTATCCAAGTCATTAATTTTCAACTTACATCACTTCGGTGATGTAAAAAGTGTTGTCCTCATTTCACAGCTGGAATTGACACATCAAGTGAGTGACGTGCCTGAAGTTTCACAGCAATCATGGCCGTAGAAACTACTGACTTATTCTTAGACTATTCTGTTTCTTGGAAAACTAACCTGTGTTCCTTCTCCTTGTTTCTGCTACCCCCTTTGCCTCCTCTTGTTGATTACTGGGCCAACAGTTCAGTTGTCTTAAGCATTCAAACCAGCCATTGACTAGCAGGGCCAAATGGCCCCTCTCCCTTGTGTGAGCATGAGCAGCATCGCTGCTGCCATGTAGGGAGTTAAGTCAGGGAACCGATTCAGGGTGAAGCTAATCTATCACAGAACACTTTGAGCCCCTTATCAGGCTGGTGGCAGCAGCAGAACAGGGAAAGGACAGGACAGTGCCGTGCAATGGCTAATAGCTTGAATGGCTTGTGGGACTGTGTACTCTCTTTTCCCTGGTGGGAATGCAAACAGCATCAGAACCTTAACCAAAATAGTTTCTAGTTTCTCTTTTCAAGTGTAGATTGCAAACTTGGTATTTTCACCGTGTCTGTAGAGCCTCCCCAAAGCGAGACGAAGGGGCAGCTGAGAAGTGCAGATGTGTTCTTGTAATGACTTTACTTGTGACCTATGTGGCAAGCTTTTCTGTGTGGCTGTTAACATTAAAAGTGTTTGGCTCCATACAAACTTTTTCTGCTTGAAATTAAACTGTTTGTGAAGAGTTTTAAGTGCAACCAGAGAAAGGCACTATTACCAGGATAAGTACCTTCACAAAGGGACTAATTTAAGTGTTGCAGATTGCTACCACATCTTGCCTTGCAACACTCGGACCTGCATCAGCCCATGTAACCTTGAGTGGCTCCTTAGAAAACAAGACAAATAAAAATGGTGTGTGGGGTTTTTTAAGTCTTTGGAGTGTCATCTCGAGGAGATTCCTGCTGTGACTTTGATGTGAGAGTCACACATATAGGGAGAATGTCCTGCTTTGCTGATCCCTCCCCAAAAGTGGCATTCAGAGAGCTTCCAAGTTGCCCTTCTGAGATGTGCTTTTAGCTTTCAAAACAAACCATGTATTGAATCCTGCTGCTTCACTTGAAGAGTTGCAATGTAAGAGAACTGCCAGTGTGCAATGATGCCCTCATCCTGACTGTATCAGAAGTCTAGTAGGGACCTAGTAGTTAGGGGACTTCAGGCAGGGACCTTGCCATGCTAATGGCTTGCTTGTTGGTGACTAAGGCAGGAGAGAGATGGCAAATATTTAGAATAAAAGAAGCTTTTTTTTTTCTTCCCACATTTAAGGAAATGCTACAGAAGAGAACAGACTTTTTAACAACTGTTGTTAATATTTTTTTGAAGAGCGATGGTATCTTTCCACCTGAACTGCCCCGTGGTTCCCCTAAAACAGCTGAGACCTTGAAGAACTGTGTTGCTGTCAGTGAGGCTGTGACATAAGGTCTCTGGCTGGGGGGGAAAAAAAACCAAAACATTTCTGCTTTTCCATCTTCTGTGCGGCACACGAAGCTTCCCCAGGAGAGTGAGAGGCTCTTGTAGATGGACCTCAGTGCTGTGAACTCCTGTAGAGAAAAAACTGCCCTGTATCAGATGCAGCCACAGTCCTGTTGCCAGGCATTACAGAAGCAGCAAAAGAAGTGTGTGGGATTGTTGCACTCGTTCAGTTTGTTCAGGCTCAAACTGACACAAATCAGTTTGATTTTTTTCTTCCTGCGCTGAGTACAGATTGTAATGTAACAGCGCAGCCACTCTGTGTAGTAGGAACCTAACAACAACCAGATTTTAACATAGTTACTAATTCTTTTGAAGGAGGCAGTGTTAGCAATTATAAACTAGACTAGACATTGGTAAGAACTTACAAAATAATTACAGGCTTCCTGAAGTAATACAGTGTGAGTAATTACAGGTTTTAAAACATTGTTATGAGCAGGAGTTTATACCGAAACTTCATCCTGCTCTTTGAAACCAGAATACATAACTCTCACCATGCCACAGCCAATGCTTGTCCTTCTCCACAGAAGAACTTAGCCTCGCTTTACTGTACAGCAAATGTTCTGTGGTACATTATTTAAATTAGCATATAATAGAAACCTAATTGCCCACTAGGGCCCACAGCTTTAGCTGGTGTAGATCAATGTGCTTCCACTGAAGTCAGTGTAGCAATGTTGATTTTCACCCCTGGAGGATCTGGCTCAGCAGCTTGTTTCTATTCCAAGCATTGTTAAAGGAGATAGTGCATTTAGAATATTAAACCATGGCACTGTCAGAGATAGCCTGCTCAATTTATGTGCGAGTGAAATAAAGAGGTAAAACTATTATTTTTATCTGAGGATTTCAATTTGCAATGTCAGTTATTCGCAGTGACTGATCTGGTACAACGGGGAAATCTTAAACGTTGGGGTCATCTTGTTGTGGCTTTAATTTCCTACGTCCGTAGTTATCTAATCCTCTCAGTGTGAGTGAGCATGATTAGTATTTACTTCTGTTCTGTGTTCCAGTGCCCTGAGCCAGGTCCTGTGCTAAGTCCTAAGTGACTCTCCTACTTCATTGACGTTAACTTACGCTGCAGTAATTTAAGTAAAAACTGAGACTTTATGTTTGAAGCCCCTGTATGTATTTCTTCGATGTGGATTCTGCTCAGATGTCAAGGTTTGCAGAGTATTTGTTGGTATTTTTAAGTGGTTTTGGATTTTTTTGTAGCAGTGTTTTCTGTCACAAGGATTTGGAACGAAACTGCCTGCTTGATTGGGACACAACCGGGAGCACTGTTACAGCTGTACAACTGGTTTGTAAGTTGCTACAGTAAGAACAACAGCTGTCTCTCTCTCTGGAGAGTCAAGTACCAAAATGAATAATAGTTCTTCACTTTATCAAGTGGCTTTTACAATAATTTGAAATGCTTGGTGCAAGAAGCTTATTTTGCTTATGAATGCTCCATTCAGGAACAGAGAAACTTCAGTTCTGAGCCGAGCCAACAATCCTTCTTTGTTGAAGTTTCCTCCCATTTCGCTGCCATTATTCACAGGCCTCAGGCTGCTCCCCCCACTTACCTCTGCTTCCATTTGTCCCCTGGTAGCTCTAGATAATCACAGCTATTCTTCTGAGAGTAGGAATGTGGGAGTTCTGGTCAAACATTTTGGTTCTTTATCAAGGACAGTGTGGCAATGGACTGCATATGAGTGGTTTGAAACAGTACAGTGTTAAAGCTCTCAACAGTTTGAGTTGCCTGGTGTTCTTGTCTCTCTTCTGGCACATGCAGAATACAAGCATGGACAGAAACAGCATCAGGAGTGATGAGTAAAGGCTGTTGTGAAAGGGTTTAGTGATTATTAACTTCATTCTCAGTAAAGTAATGCATGCTTTCATTCAGCTCTGCTTATGAGGTTGTTGGTTGTTTTTTTTGCCCTGACGAAGTATAGGTCAGCAAATGGTTTTTGTTATCTTTGCATAAGATGATTACAGTAATACAGGTGCTGTTTCTATTATTTTCTCCTAACCTTTATCAAGCCTCCTTTGTTTTAGGAAACACAGATCAAATCCTTTCACTACTTGCCTGCCTGCCATTGTCTCTTGGCCTTTAGGACCTTGTGTTGACCGTATGAAGCAAGTTGATTCTTCTCTTGCAATCTCTCAAACACATTTAACAACTGAGTCCATCATTTTCTTCTGATAATTTCCTGTTCATACTTACATTCTGCACAGTGTGTGTATTCTGCCTGGCTCTTTGGGGCGTAGGATTGTCTCCTTCTTCATGGTACTTTCATACCTGTTTGAAAAAGATGTCAGCATTCTCTGTTTTTTGGGGCATGATTTTGAAATTTCAATAATTTTTTTTTAGTAAGTGTATAGATAAAGTATTAAGGCAACCATACGGACGTTGATGATAAGGCAGTGCTTCAGGTTCCTTTGTTTTCAGTATTATGTTTTTCAGCCTTGATATGTCTTTATGGTGCTTTTCTTCCTGCTTAAAAACATGGGAACATTTAACCTATGTGGCCGTATTTGTGTAATATGAATCATCATCTCTTGAGGTAAGGATACTGTCTTGCATGTGTGAGAATAACAATGCAATGTAATTTTAGAATCTGAAGGCCAGCTGGCACAACACTGAAGATGGTAGCTTCCCCGAGCAGTTAATCGTGTTAGGTAACTCATGATGCAAACTGCCGTGCTCTCTAGAGTGTGTGAGCCTCTTACCTGGGTAAGATAGAAGAAAAGCTGAATGAACTTTGAGAGCTGCAAAATATGCTGCAACTAAACAGCAGAAGATCAGCTGATAGTGCTGTGCTTGTATCACTTTACTCCCCAGTGAGGTCAGAGTAGTAAAGCTATTATGTGCGGGGCTTCTTGCTTTTTTGTTAGGAAGAAGCAGGATTGCTAAGATAATGGGTGAAGGCACTGGAGCATTCATGGCAATAATTTCTAAAAGTTGGAGATAAATAGGCAGGCAAAGTTGAAGACTTATCGGGATGGGGATATTAGCATTTTGAATACTCTCTGCACAGATGCAGTTATCATTTAATTGACTTTACCTTAGGGAACACTAGAAAATCACTACACAGCCATAAAGGAAAAGCTTTTGCAGAGTCCATAAGGGCTCTGTTCTGCTGTACAAGCAACTGAAGCCGTTACGCTAATGGAGTCGCAACAGGGAAGGAGAAAGCCTGCCTCTGATCTACTACACCAGCTCGGACATGACAACCTGTATCCTGTCCTTCCTTTACACCTATCCTCATGAGTAACTTCATTAGCTTGAATCACAGCTGTCACCTTGCTTCTCTTTTGATGCAAGGAGAGAAAGTTGCATCTTTGTGAGGGAATGGGGCCTTTTGCCTCCAGGGGCGATTTGCCCCCAGACCAACCCAGTCCCCACAAGCTGCCATTTAAGCCCAAGGCCCAGCTCATCATCAGCAGCATGTTGCAGAGGTCGGTCTTGAGGTCTGTCTGCCATACACAGCACTCCTGGCTGGCAGTCTGGGCTTGCTCTGCTGCTCTTTCCATGGCATTTTTAAGACAGAGGGGAATTCTGCATTCAGGGCTGCAGCAATTTGTGCTACAAATTGGATTGTAATTGCCTGCTCCCCCGAGAGGTGCATGTGATGTGCAGCGTGCCCGTTTACCCGCTGCACACATGGCTGGTGACAGGGCTCCCAGCTGCCGTGCTGTCCTGCTTGGCAGGAAGCAGTGAGGGGAGGCAGGACTCGTGGATCACAGGGGAGGGCAGACATAGGCACCCTTCTCCTGTCACGTCCCGTGTGTCATCTGTGGAGCCAAAGGACCAATGTGGGAATGAGAAGATGACCAATTTGGGTTTTTCCCTAAACTTGGTTTTCAGTCTGATGTCTGGAACAAAGGGGGTTACTTTGAATTTTAAATGATTTTAGTAGAAAAAGAATTGATTGTGTAGTATTTAGTGAGGCTGCAGTTAGACCTTGCATTTGCTGTATTTTCAAAGAGCTGCCTGGAGCTGCAGAACAGTATTGTGCTTGTATGAATACAGAGTAAATTCTTAGCAGGTGCTTTACTAGATTGAGATGGGTGTTGGGTGTCTGAGCATTGCTGGTCTCTTACCTTGCTGATTTGCTGAAATTCTCCACTCATCAGGCCTGCACAGCAAACGACATTGAAACCCCCAGTTCATTGGGAACTTTTCATACAGAATAGTTGCTTGTTTTGTTTGTAGTCATTATTTTTAAATTTGCTATCTAAGCATGTTAGGGTTTTATTGGTATTATTCCTTCAGCAGCAACATCAGTTACTCCAGGCATTGTTTAAAGCTTATTTTTTTGCATTTCTTAGTGAGATTTGGCTTAAAGGAAAATCAGTAGAGGGAAAAGAATTAGTAAATCAAACCCTTCCTTTCCCTTTCGAACCTCTAGTTTTTCCACCCTCAAGTAAGTACGTGAAAGGAGTTTAACAACTTTAAATTGGATTTTGGAATGTCAGATGACTCTAATAGCCTTTATACACAAATAACAACAGAAGAGCTGATTATTATTTCTGGGCTCTGCGATGCACTTATGTAATCATTAATCTTGGCACTTCTTTATCTCCAGCAGATTAGGAGGCCACTGTCATTTTGAAGACTGCTATTAAGTAGACTTCGTTAGTGTTTAAATATGTGAAGCTTAACTGTAAGCTTCCTTAATGTATATGATGGAGTTATCCTGTGCACAAAGCATTCTAATAGAGCTGTTGTATTAAGTTTTAGTCGCATATTTGCTGCCACGGAGTCTGAACTGAGACATGTTTTAATGTAAAACAGCAGGTACGCAGCATCTGAGGGCACTGCAAATGCTTTTTAAGTTGAAAGCATTCAGCAAACAAACTTGCTGTATCTTCTACCTTTCAGTTAGTTTTGTCACAGACAGGCAGGAAATTAAATTCTATGGAATGAATAAGTAGAAGAGGGTTTTCATGAAGGCCATAACACCTAATTAATTGTGGCAATGGAAGATCTTACACTAGGCCTTTTCTTTCCACAAGCTTGTAATTTTCAAAAACATTTTTGTGGGCAAGTACCTTTTTTTTTTTCCTTCCATCATCCATGTCAGAAAATGAAGATGGTTTTCAAACACAGGATGGTTTATGCAGACTTGATAAGGAGATAAGAACCACAGAGCCAGAGCCAAGGCTAGGAAGATGCCATGAATGTACTTGTTTGGGGGACAGCACCATAGTGCAAGGTTTAAAGAACATACTGAAAACTAAACTTTCCCTAGCAGGAATGTTTTTGACAGTGTTCTTTAGACTGATTTTATTTTGCTGTAAACCTCAGCCTATCAAATTTCCATCTCCTCTGATATGATCCTTGACATTATCCCTCCTGGTCTAGCTTATGGGAGCAGTTCATAGCATTTGTTCCTGTGAAGGTGGAGAGAAGTGTGTGCCCAACAGCAAACAGCAGGGCAGGCTGCCCTCCAGCAGCTTCCCTCAGTCACTAAGGGATGGGCAGTGCTGGCCCTCCTTCATCAAAATGAGGGACCACCGAGAAACTTTCATGCAAGTCAATGAAGTACTGCTGAAAGTAGTTTCATTAATCTGAAGCAAACTCACAAAGGAGCTGTGAAAAGGCAAGACAGCACATATACACTAAAAGCAGGAGTGATGAACAGCATCCATAGTTTTGTTGTTTGTTTTTTTTTAAAGTGTTGCCATGTCAGCTAGGATAACACTGAACAGACTTCAGAAGAAGTCCTTTTTGTGAGGTTTGAGGGATTCTGGTTTGGGCTTCAGTAGGTGAGCTTCTAGTAGACAAGCACTGCAGAACTTGAAAGGACTTGCAGAATAAGTTCTCAGTATTGACTGCTATCTGAAACCAGACAGGAGGTTTTGGAGGGAGTTAAACATGAGCACATGCAGCTAGAAGGCTTTTTACTGTTCAGAGTTCTGAAGTCGGTTTTGGTTGTTATTGTTCGTCTCTCAGATGAATCATCAGAAAATGAAAATTTAAACCAGACATTTAGAGCACACCTTTGTGAGAAACTAATGATTCCACTTGGCATACAGCATCAAAGGAAGCCTTTTTAATGACATCAAATTTGTGTATAGCCAAAAAGAAAATAAAAAATCTTAAAAATGCAAATGCAGTCTCTTCAGAATGATGGAGCTTTTCTAGTTCGGGTGAAATGTTTTTTTCCTGCTACTTTTTCTTCTAGAAGTACATTCAGCTTTTGAGTGTTTTTTTCATCAAAGTACATCTCCTTTGCAAGGAAGTGGCTTCTTTACCAGCCACATTTGTTTGGTTTTAACTTAATGATACAAAATGCTATTTCTCAATACGCATACAGTGATACATCCTGCAATTTATGCAGAGGCCAAACCCTTAATAAAATTTTTGCAGCTTGGCAAAATGGCAGGACAGTTGTGAATCATGACAACTCTTTGTTTAAAGGGATACTTACTTTATTGGGAAGGGAATATCTTGCTCTACCTTCTAGATGCTTTCCATATTCCATTTTCCAAACTGACTATTGCTCTCTCTGGGTCAATAACTGTTGAACTGCAGTATGGCTTGGTTGAATAGTAAGTGTAACAGGAATCTCAGGCACTGGAATGGAGAACAGGTAGGGCTGATGCTGACCAGTGACAACCTGCCTGGGACCTCGTAGCAGCATTCAGGAATTATTGACTGATCTGAGAGCTGTGTTAAGAATTAAAATGCAGCATGGCCTACAGTCAGATTGAGCTTCATTGACCTAATGTTTCTTTAACATTTCAGGAGCCTGTCATCGTGTTAATTGAAATTGTTAGTAATTTTGACACTGTGTTGCAAGTGAAGTGAAATGCCACCCCTTTCCTCCCCCCCCCTTACCATTGTTCTGAAAAGCTAGTAAAAGATCTTTCCTTAGTAAATGTTAGTGCAATTTAGCCAGCAACTAATTAAATCTCATAATTTGTCAGGCAGTATAACTATATGCCTTTTAATAGGGACTGAAATGACTGCATTCAAAGTATTGATAATTTCAGACTGTCTTGGAACCCAGGAAAAATAATCCAGGGAAAGGCCATTGTGCTGGCACACAGCTGTGTTCAGCTGACTTGCCTAAAGTTAGCAGGCAGTTGGTAATTTCTTCTTTGTTTCTGTACAGCACAACAAATAATAAGATGCTACCATAGGTGAGAATCCTATAAAAAACACATACACTGTGGACTGACATAAACATTCGCTTGCTGCTTACTGAATAAACGCAGCAGCAAATCAGAACAGAAAAAGCAGCCAGTGCTGCCAGTTATTCTGGTAATAGCTCACACCTATGTTGCTGC